GGGGGGGGGGGGGGAGGGGGGGGAAGGACCGGGATGGCAAAGTCGGAGCTGGTGACTACAGCGCCCGGAACGTTGTAGAGGAAGGTTGTTACGATCCAATCAGCGGACTTAGATAGATTGACCAATTGGATAGGACCCGGGGTTCCGAGTCTACGGGACTACGGGTCAGACACGGTCCCGGGTTCACGGGACCACGGGACAAGGCTGAAGACCAGTATATAAGAAGACCTCCCGGCCTTCGTTATTAGCGTTCTTCAGCAAGCAATAGCTATCACAATCTACCAGTACCTTTCGGCTACTACTCTATCACTCTATTGTTCTATCCCAGCGATAATACTCCTGTGCTTGTAACGGTTCGTCACAAAGGTGAGGATGAGGAGCACAAGAGCCATGTTTATGTTGGCGTTGGGGTGAGACATCTTGAGGGTTGAAAGCTGACCGAATGCGCTGGGGTGTTACTTAAGCGATATGAACGATGTGATTTACGAATGGTCGAATGCTGGTGAAGTTGCTTTATATTGGTGATATCTGTTACCTGACTTGGAGAACAGGGGGCGGAGGAACGAGAATTCGAGCCATCTTATGTGAATTGACATGGTGGCCGAAGATTGGATACCATGTGATCATCCTATTGGCGAGGAATATTGGAATATGATAACAATACCGTTATTCAGCGTTGAGCAGTTCCGGTAGACAATGAAAGAAAGAACTTTGCTCAAGCCACTCGGGATACGAGAAGCGCCTTCCGCTCTTTGTTCTTTCTTTGTAAGATCGATTTCGCACTCCTCGGACATTGAAGGGTCTCGATGTCTTTCTTGTAACCTTAGAAGCCGAAGCATTGCCGCGAGCTTGGGTGTTGTGTATGCAAAACCCATCTGGACGCAAGTCAGTTGTCTGAGCGTTCAAGCTTCTGTAAAACATTGACTTGTTTACTTACCCCTGAGATTAGCGGGGCTCGACGGAGCAGTTAAATGCAGGTGTCCTCACAAAGGAAATTCCGAATGGCCGCGCTGTGGCTGATGTCCACAGCATTTCATTGGTCCAAGTTTGCTTCGGGTCCCGCACTCAAAATCCAGCCTTGGCTGTCTAACCCAGACTCGGAGTTCCGGATTGCCTCTCTCCGAGTCCCGAAGTCGCAGTCATGAAAGGCGGAAACAGTTCGGTACCGACATGGCTACTTTAACTGTAGGACCTCGTACAGTCATCACGAGCCATATTGAACCTCCGCTCCAACTAAAGATACTCATCATCATTAGTCTACGAGTCAGTTCAGTTCAGTTATGTCATTACCCAACGTACACTCCCGATCCATCTGGACCATTCCATCACTCTTCTCCCCTTTATCACCCTTTCCCCCGTGGCTGGCAATTACACCTCCTCCCCAGCAATACTCTCATAACCACCACCTCTTCTCCTCCCTCCGCCACTCGCAGTCATAACCGTCGGACTCTCATACATATCCGTATAATTCACCGGCACGCCACCCAGCACGGCCGCGCCATTCTCATGCTTTCCAAACATCGGATTGGGATCGCACCAGAAATCTTTACAATTCGTGACACACCCTCTGCTATAGGGATTGCCGCGCTTGTTTCTCTTAGATCCCTTGCCCGTAGCCGCACCCCGGCCAGCGGCGGTTTCAATGAAGGCGTCGACACCCAGGAGACGAGACCATTGCTTGATGAAGCCGCCTTGCTTTCCATGACCGTGTTTTCCGTGTCCGTGGCGACCGCCGTGAGCGTGACCGTGGGCGTGGCCGTGACGAGCGCCGCCCGCAGCTGCAGGAGATGGGCCGGGAGCGGGAAGAGAAGGCGGGTTGAGAGGAGCGCCAGTGGAGGTGAAGGCGCTGTTGAGAGAGGTGGCGGAATAGTTGTCGATCCCGTGGATGTTCTCGTAGGTGGTCATCGCGCTAGAGACTTGGACGAACTGGACAAAGAGGAGCATGGAGACCCAGGTGAGTTGGAGGGTGGCCCAGATGGCGGTTAGGAGACTGTATGTGTCGGCATTGACAATTCGGCAAAGCGATGGAGAGAGGATGTTGCATTCGTCGGAGGCGGTCTCAGAGAGAACGGAGAGGTCTGTTTACGTTAGCAGCTTGTCTGTAAGGGGGTGGTTGGACAAACTCACATCTGTAGGTCAACCAGTCATAAGTGATGATTCCCAGCGTCATGTTGATGAGGTACATGAAGAAATGACGATGGTTGTTGACACCAATGCAGTTGTACACCCACGGGCAGTGACTATTCCCAGTTAGCTTCCAACCATTTGCCAGTATTGACTCAATGTACTCACTGATCATGCCTCGCCACGCAGCGTTGACACCTACGGCAATGCTTGCTCCTCAATGGCGTGCGGATCATGCAGGTAACGCAAAAGTTGGACTCGTCAAACTTCCACACGCTGATAAGCTCATCGATGGCGGCCTTTTGCTCAGCAACACCGCCCATCTTGGGGACAAACCCAGGGTCATCAACCATGCACCTGATGTAGAACCAAGTAGTCAAGGAGATGAAGAAGGCAAAGAGCAAGTTGGAGAGGACTGCTCCATCCTCTCCAAACATTGTGCTACCAAAGATGCGCAGGAACCAGTTTAGGGTGCACAAGAACAGTGATCCAGCAAAGATACCGGCCATCCAAGGTGTCTTTTGCAGTTGCCTCATGTTTGGCGGGGCATAAGCGATGACCTGCTGTGCCACCCATTGAACAGCATAACCAGTCAAGACGCCCAATGGTATCCCGACAAAGACGGGCATGCCAGCCATGACAACCATGGTTGCCCACACCATGACGAACGGCCACAGAAACGTAAACTTGGTCATGAACGATCTCCTATCCTGAAGGAGATACGATGCGCCAGGCCAGCTGGGGACAATCGCGTTGCCATCCTCGTCGTAACCGCACTCGTTAAGCGCCTTCTGCCACGCGGCAACCGTGTTGAGCTCTTGAGCCGTAATCGAGGGGGTCTTGCCAGTGGCCGTCTTCGCAAACCGGTCGGCGCCGTACTCGATCAGCTTCTGGATGCAACCCGGGTTTCCTTTGACCAACGCCCAGTGTAGTGCCGTGAACCCTTGCTCGTCCGTGGCGTGGACACTAGCTCCCCACCGCAGAAAGACGTCGACGCAGGCGGGGAAACCCTTGTATGCTGACCACATGAGGGCGGTATGGCCGTAGGCATCTTCGACATCGACGGGGATGCCTTGGTGTAGGAGGAGGACGATCAGCAGAACGTTGCCGTTGAAGGTGCTGATGTGTAGTGTGTTGTACCCCTGAGAATCGGTGATCAAGGGATCGGCGCCGTGCTGGAGGAGTAGGTGGACGGTATAGTAGTGGCATCTTTGGGCGGCCCATTGTAGGGGTGTTGCGACGCTCTCTCCTCCCTTTTTGTTTATCTCGGCGCCCTTGTCGATGAGGAACTTGCACATGGCATATTGGTTGTTGATGGCGGCCCACTATAGGGAAGGGTTAGTACGGTGTCGGACGAGAGGTGTAAGGAAGTATTCGGCCTACATGTAGGGGCGTGATGCCCTCGTCATCCGAGTAGGTCGCATCGTATTCGCCGGCCTCAAAGAGCTTCTCCATCCCTGCAATGTCGCCTATCCTTGCCATCTGCATGATATCCTTCTGCGCTTCGCTGGGAAGGCTACCGAGCTCGACTTCGCTGTTGAGCTTGGGAGTAGCAGTGCCGGATTTCATAGGCGGCTGGGAGGGGGCAGCTTGGCCGGCGTCGGCCCCGTCGGGTTGCGCCATCTTGGAATCGTGGTGGAATGTAATCGGCACAGAGAAGTCGGGGTTCGATCGGTCGGCGGGGAAGGTTTAGGATATTCGGAGGTCGTGGATTAGGATCGGGGAAGTCGTCGGAATCTATCGAGTTGTCGTGTCTATCATTCGGAGCGTGTGGAAGACGACACGGCTAATCGGCATGGAGGGGGAAGACCACCGGGGCTCAGCAACTTGAGACGATTCGAAGATGGAATTGCGACAAGGAAAAAGAGACGGATAAAATATTTGGTCAATGCGCAAGCTCGCACAACGGGCAGTCTAGGGACAATGAAGGCCAAGAGTGGAAATATACAGTAATGAAGAGCAAACAGCAAAAGGAATGTGTTTGGTCGTTGGTGGTGGGCTGATGATTCCTCTATTGTCCGAGTCGCCAACTTGGAAGACTCAAGAGACCGCAGCCGGAAGTTGACAATGGGAAGAACTTTGGTGTTGGACTTTGACTTGTGGTTGGAACTGAACCGATTGATGCTGGACTTTCGTCAGCACCCCCTGGCCTGTTAGTGTCGACACCCAGTTTCGCTGTGCTTGCGGCGGCTGGTTGATGTCCCCACTAACATGCAGCTTCTCCAACTCCCTCCCACGATTGTGTACTGCAAGGGTCTTTCCGCCGGGGGAACAGAGACACCGTGGACGGAGAGACAGTTCCGGGGACAACTCGGGTTTATCGGTTGGTCCCTGTGGCTTGTCTGTCTCACACTGCCACAACAATGTGATGTCGACATCGATGAGGCAAAAGAATCCTCGAAAAAGGGTCTTCACAACTTTGCCCTTGGCACATGCAACAGAAAGGGGCTTTAACGATTGGATCTTCGCTCTTTCCACGCATTGTTCTCCGAGCCTTCTTTCTCCGGCGGCGGGCGTTGCAGTGTTCCGTTCGGTGACAGCTGTGGACACTCTGCCAAGCCCACTGATTCGTCCCCAACCACCCCGGGCCCCCACTGCGAACGGGCCACAGAGCCGCTGTGGAGCATTGCACTTCAGGCCCCAAAATTATGTGGAGAGCAGTCTTGACCGGGACCGGGAACTTGGCCGTTTCTCTCGAATGACGATGGTGTCATTTTCGGCACCAGAACACCCCGAGAGCTCTTCTTCCCCTGTAACGCGCATCTCAACAACCGTCGACGCGCCTCAACAAAACGTGGCGATAGAAAAGGGGATGCTCCTATAACATCTCCGAGTCTCCTCGACGCATTCCGACCGAACACAAAGCGACCAAGCTATCCATCGAACCCCGTACAACACGTCCGAATCAGCGCGCAAGCTCCCATCGAGCTCGACCGCAACAATGTCAACAACAATAGAAACCATAGCCACCACGGCGACAGTGGTCGCTACAACAGCAGCCGCAGGCGCATCATCTAACACCTCTTCATACTCAACAGAGCACATCAAAGAACTCGTCAAAGACCTGCTCATCGCCTCCCTCCAACCCAACAAGACAGTCATCATCACCGGCCTCCTAATTGTCTTGCTCGTCCCTGTTATTCTCCACCAATACCTCCACGGGGACGAGTCCGGCTCTTCCTCCTCTTCCTCCTCTCTCCCGTCAATCATACTCGCCGGTCCTTCAGGCGCAGGCAAGACCGCCCTTTTGACTCTCTTTGAGAAGCGCGCCGGCCGCAAGACCTCCCCTTCTTCAACCGATGAAAAGACCGCGAGCGGCGCCGAGCCAGCATTAACACACACCTCCCAAACGCCCGTCTCCGTTGAACTCAACGCCGCCTCCTTCTCCTCCTCCGACGAAGACAGGAAGCCCAGAAAATTCCTCCTAATCGACACACCAGGCCACCCCAAGCTGCGCTCCACGGCGCTCAACCACTTGCTCCCTCTCGACCCTAAGACCGGCCGTCCTCTTCCTCCTAGCAAGACCAGCCACATAAAAGGCGTTTTGTTCCTCCTCGACGCATCCACCTTGTCCCCATCCTCGCCCGACTCTTCCTTGTCACAAACAGCCACTTACCTGTACGACCTCCTCCTGGCGCTACAACACCGTTATTCAAGGCACAGCAAGGGGAGCAAACACCCCCCTTCCATTCCCGTGCTCATTGCGGCGAACAAGCTGGATCTGTTTACTGCGTTGCCTGCGACGCTGGTGAAGAAGGAGTTGGAGGCTGAGATTGGAAGGATTCGTGTTAGCAGAAGCAAGGGACTTTTGGATTCGGGAGTGAAGGAAGATGTGGTAGATGAGAAGGAGGAAGGGGATGATTGGTTGGGGGAGTACGGGAGTGAGAAATTTGAGTTTAGGCAGATGCAAGAGTTTGATATCGAGGTGGAGGTTGTGGGTGGGAGCGTCGCTGGAACGGAAGGGCCGGGGGTGGAGGGGTGGTGGAGGTGGGTTGTTGAGAGGGTTTAAGTTGGGGTTGAGAGTGGATGTGGGATGTGATGATGATGATGGAAGCGACAGCTGTGGATGGTAATTGGATGGGTATGGTATGCAAAGAAAGGTTCCTAGGATGGTGGATGGCAAGGAATGGGGTTATGACTTTCATGCATATGAATAACAAACTAATATCACTTGACTTGAAGTACCATGCAGAGCCGCTGATCACGCCGTGACAGGGTGACGGAAGGAAGAGGTCTATAGCCGGTGTGACTGTGAGTAGGACACCTCGAGAAGTTTCCAACAGACGAGGTTTTTCCCAAGATCGTTATTGTCTATGAAAGGTGGGGGTTATGGATATGGGCACATTACTCTTAACAGCGAGAAGAGACATCATGGGGGAAGGAGAGAAGCTATCGTGGTGGGCTTGTATATATACCCCATGACCACACGTCGTGAAGCGCGAGCAACAAGCAGGGATCGAGCTTATAAAGAGAAAGTCAGGATGCGAGCCGATGAAGAGAGCCAGGAGAGCCACGGGGTCCAAGTATAGGACCCGCGATCGCTTGACAACTTTTGAAAAGGGGACTAAGCTGTGGTGGATGGTAACAAGGGACCTAGATGGGTTCAAGTAGGGACAGAAAGAAACGAAAGCCAACTATAGTCTATAGGCTTGTAGGCATACGATAACACCGCCCTGCCACCATGGTCAATCCAGAGGACAATCACATGCAAGACATCGCGCATCACGCAGCACCAAATCAAACATCTTTCTGAGAAATGAACAATAAAAATAAAACGTCCCATTTGCACGGGTTGAACCCTTTTCTACGCCGGACCAAATGCTAGCTACCCAGAAATTCTATGCGAAAGCAATACGCCCAAGGCTCCCAGAGCTAAGTACCCAAGTATTAGCAGACAGAAAAGAAAAGCAAAAAGAGAAAGAAGCCGCCCATAGATGTTGAGTCTAGGTATCATCTTTTGAAGGAAAGATCCCCGTTTAATCCATCCCACGTCTCACGGAGGCGGCTGTTGTTGTTGATTGTTGTTGTTGTTGGTATTGGTAATGGTATCCTCCACTCTATTCGCCATCTAACATATTGGCGTTTAAGACTGCTGACGAACCATGTAGGTCAAGAGATCAACCTTGGTGACAACAGCGACAGGCTTGGAACCATCATCCTGCTTCTCAGTGACAATCGCAGCAGCGTTCCACTCGAGGAACTTGCTGAGAGCAGCCAGGGGGGTGTCCATGGTGATCTCGACAAACTTGCGCTGCTTGTCCTTGAGGTCGTTGCCGAACTTACGGGGGTCGGTGACGACCTCGTCAATGCGGCTGAAATTGAACATGACCTCGGAGACAGGGCTGGCAGGGGTGGCGCGGCCGCGCTGGATGAAGCTGAGCATGTTGCCGAGGGTGACGAGACCGACGAGCTTGCCACCAGTAGGGGCAAGGACGGGGAGCTGGTCGAAGCCCTTCTCGCGCATGGTCTCGATGGCCTCAGAGCAGGGCGAGTCGGCGAGAACGGAGGTAACGGGCTTGAGGCGAAGGGCGCGGACGGTGGCGCCGGCGTAAGCGTCATCGGTCTTCTTCTGCTCGGTCTCCTGCTGCTCCTTGACGGTAGCGGTGCCGTTGGTGCCGTTGGCCTTCTTGACATCGTCCTCGGTAGAGAGGAGGCCGTTGGCGGCGAGCCAGTCGTCGTCGGCGAACTTGGAAAGATAGGAGCGGATGCTGTCGGGGAGGACAACGACGACAACGTCACCCTTGCCGAGGTTGAACTCCTTGACGGCGCGGACCATGGCGGCCATGGCGCTGCCGGAAGAACCACCAACGAGGAGACCTTCCTCGGCGATGAGGCGGCGGGCGAGGTGGAAGGACTCGCGATCCTCGGTCTTGTACCACTTGTCGACGAACTCGCGGTCGAGGACGTCAGGGATGAAGTCATAACCGATACCCTCAACCTTGTAGGGAGCGGTGGCGTTGGGGTCGTTAAGGCTCTCGGGAAGAGCGAGGATGGAACCGACGGGATCGGCGGCAATGACCTTGACGTCCTTGTTGTGCTTGCGGAGGCCGCGAGCAATACCAGTGATGGTACCACCAGTACCGGCGCCAGCAACGACGGCGGTGACCTTGCCGCCGGTCTGCTTCCAGATCTCCTCGGCGGTGCCGAATTCGTGGGCAAGCGGGTTGTTGGGGTTGGTGTACTGGTCGAGAATGTGGGAGTTGGGGATCTCCTTGAGGAGACGGCGGGCGACACCGATATGGGACTCGGGGCTGTCCCAGGCGGCCTGGGTAGGGGTACGGATGATGGTGGCACCGAGGGCACGGAGGACGGAGACCTTCTCGGCGGACATCTTCTCGGGGAGGGTGATGATGGTCTTGTAGCCCTTGATGGCGCCAACGAGGGCGAGACCGATACCACTGTGGGGAAGCATGTTAGCTAGAGTCACGAGCAAGCGCAACAGAGAGAGGAACACTCTATAAACGTACGTGTTACCACTGGTGGGCTCGATGAGGGTGTCACCGGGCTTGATGCGGCCCTCCTTCTCGGCCTCCTCGATCATGCGAAGGGCTATCCTGTCCTTGACACTGCCGCCGGCGTTGAAGAGCTCGACCTTGGCGTAGACCTCGCACTCGATGCCCAGCGATTGGGGGATCTTGTTGAGGCGGACGAGGGGAGTGTTGCCGATCAGCTCGGTGGCCGACATGGTAAGGCCAGGGTTGCGCTCAACGGCGCCGTTAGTAGTACCGCCGCACATGTTTGCGATTGATTGATTGTTTTGTCGGGGAAGAGGGCAGGGAGGATTGCTGAACGGGTTGTCGAGGGGAGAACAGGGAAATTTCTGTCTTTTATCGAACGAGGATTATTGTGGGGGCTTTGTCCTGTTGGGTAGGCTTGGACATCCACTCGCTCGACCGGGACAATGGCTTCGGGAAACGCGCGGGGGCGGGGTTGTTTTTTTGACAGGGAGGAGATCTGGGAAAGAATTTCACGATATGGAAGAGTTGGCGGTTGACAGGAAATGCGGTGATACAATTTGATATTTATCCTGCTTGTCTAGGTAATCGTCGGTGTAAGTGATTGTCACAATCCACGCCCTGTTGGTTACAAATAAGACGGATACGGGAGGCGATAACGCAGGGCGGGTCTGTGAATCAGGAACGGCAAAGAAAGCGGCGGTCAGCTCTCAGGTGACGGATTGACGGAATTGGTGAATCAACTTCCGCCATTTCAACAAATTGTGTCCCTCTCCTGCCCTCCCGCCCGCCGCTTGGCTCACCTGCCTCTCATGAACGCTCAAAACCGATGATATGCGCCACCTTCCCTTTCCCGCCGTAGGGCCTAGCTCGGCCTAGACCAGCGCAGTTGCTCTTTTTGACACCTTCGTAGCGCGACTGGTCTTGGCTTCCAAAGATCCACAGAAAGTTTCTAACGCCAAGCGCTACTGCGGCGAGTGTTGAGGAGCACAGACCATTCCTGCTTTTTTACTTGCACGTGCCTGAACACATCGTTTGAACGGCAGAAGACAGTTCGTGATGTTTTGTCCGCTTTGTCACAAAGACAGGGATGGGCAGTCCGCTAACGGCCCTCGTAATGGAGACTTGGCATTAGCTTGACATTGAAATCCGGGGAACAGAAGTCACCAGCATCAGTGGTTCCATTTGTCTTTGGTTTGCGGTTTTCTAAGTGAGCATGAAAATGTTCATGTGTTGATTCTTTCATGGAAGGTTGCAGGCGGGAAACCTGAGGATATCTCTGGAAATATATCTCTGGAAACCATATCTCTGGAAACTGTTAAGAAAGCAGTCCCATGACTGTGCATTTAAGTCTTTGGTGAGTGCTTGCCGTTCGAGGAACGAAGAAAAACCGACTAATAAAGATGCCGGTGCAAACTCCAAGAACGATCTCCAAATCGAATTTCCAAAATCCAAAATGCGAATGTCAGACGGCAGGCGTTGTCATGCAGCAGAAGCTGACAGACCAAACAGACCGGCAGCAGCTGTCCCAAATTTCCTGGAATTTGCACTCGTGCACAGACCATCCAAACCCTCTATTTAAGAGCAGCTCCCCTCCCCAATTCTTCCTCCTCTTCTTTTCCTCTTTTTTTCTTCATACTTACCTTGACTGACTGCGCGGAGATCAATAAAACTGCGTAGTACGGTGGAGAGCCTGCATTGCACATCGTGGTGCTAGCCGCCGTGAATTGTCCTTCGGGGCCGTTCTGGTCGGAATTTTTGATGTCAAACCAACGCAATTCATTGCACCCCTTTTTCAATATGTGCTCGGCCTGCGTGGTCGTGCCATAGGGAAGAAGATGACAATCCTTTCGTTGTTGATGCTGAGCTTGTGCGATGCGCGCTGAGATGCTGCCCGGCGGCGGTTCCGATTACGTCACTCCGATGCGTCCAAAGACGCCGACATCGGCGGTTGCTGCCAGTTCGCCCGCTATGGTACACGCTCGACTTGGCGTGTCATCTCCAATGAGAACGTCAATTCAAAACATTTTTCCAACTTATCGCACACAAACTGCCAGCTCGATCATCATCTTCGATATCATCTCCGATTTCTTGTCCAACCTATCAGTTCGTTCGATGTCCGGATGGGAATGAACCAATTGAAGCAAACGGCCCACAGCCTTCCTTTCAGCATACTTCAGACGAACCAACCGGCAGGGCACAGTTCCCCATACTCCCTTTTGCCTTCGTGTTTCCATCTTCAATTGGAACCCTTCCTGGCCGTCGGTACAATGGACAACGGGACTGCACGATAGCAGACCAAGAGACAAAGGAATCACAATATCGGGTCGGAGAGAGACAAGGACGGAAACCACTCCCCGGCCCCCGAGTGGCTTGGCGCGGAGCCTCCCTCGAACCTTCCATTCCTTATTGACAGTCAGACTCTTTGAACAAAGGTCACACTTTCCAGTTCGAAGAACCGAGCTTCCTCAATCTGGCCATTGTCGTCAGCACATCACTACTCGGCCATCTCTCAAGAATGCCGTTCTTCTCGTCAACCACCGATTCGATGTACATAATTGTATGCGACCATCCGACGATTCTAAACCTTCAATTTCTCACATCGAGCAACTTTCACTTCCATCTCAACTTCCAGTGTCCATCCTAGCAAACAACAAATGTACACATCGAGAGCAATCGAAAGAACATCCGGCACGGTCGACATCGTCATCAAAACCACCAAGATGCCCTCTCACTCAACCCCTGCCGCCGTGACCATCGCCATATTCATATCAGTTATAGTCCTCTTCTTCCTGAACGTCGTCTCCGCTTCCCCACTCCCGATTTCTTCTCGAGGTACCGTCGACGGCATGAACATGACAGCGAATGCCACCACGATCATACACACCCCGCAACTATCGGCGGCCCCGGTACAAGGTAACGGCACCGCAGCTGATGCGGGAGGTGAGCATCGCCACGACCCCTCTGGAACTGTCAGCACTGTCCTCGGAGTGATAGCCCTGGTCGCGTTGGTTCTGGTGTGGGCGGCTGTTGCCTGGGGGAGGAAGGATCGTGTGAGGCAACACCGATAGGTTGGAGATGGTTGATGGTGAGTCCTTAGCACCACCGAAATGACGGTTGCCGTCACAGTTCGCTGTCAAAATCCATTGCAGGCTTTGCTTACTTCACGCTTGATCTCAGGGTGTCTTCAGGAAATTGTTACATGCGAACACAAATAAGCATTGCAATTTTCTCGTCTCGGTACGTTCCCCGGAGTGATAGTTATGTTTCCCATCGCTTTCATGCTAACACGTAACATGCTCATGTACTTGGTATTCTCGTTACTGTCCGTCCTATCCACTTACTACGTTCTCCGTATCATAGTCCGCCGTCCCTTTCAACTTCCCTTCGAACTCCCTGAGCTTCTTGGTATCGGAGGCTCCTGCCATGCCTCCTGGTCGAATTTCATCTTCGCCGTTCTCCCGTGCCCAAAGCTCGCTCTCAACGCGGCCTTATGAAATGGACTTCAATATCTGCCGCCAGAAGACGGCGGCAGTTTTGCTTCTCTTTTGATATTTTCCTGATACGCTTTGACCTCACCATTCACCCGTTCGTTTCATCTGCCCACGTCGGATGCGAAGGGAATTTCTCGTTGTACATGTGTTTGAGAAATTCAAACTCGTCAAGGTCTCGTTTCAACTTCGGCTTCATGAGGGCTCGTTGTCGTCGTCGTCGTCGCTTCCTGTGTCAGGCTGTCAGTCTCTGCTAGGTGACGGACGTGGAAACCGTCGAAGCAGCATCGAAGGCAGACTCGGCTCAGAAGTGATAGTTTCCAATACGCGTACTGAAGCGAGAAAAAAGGCTGTGCACGCGCATGTTGATGATTGGTAGTAGCTTGGTGCGAGGCTCTTGGGTGAGAACACTTACTTCGCGTGGTCAGTCAGCCACTCTTGGTCAAGATGTTATCTCTTGTCCGAACCGGGAACAAAGCGATATTGGGTCAGGGCTCAATGTCTGGTTTCACGCAGCACACTGTCGAGTCACAAAGCGCCGCCCAACAGGTTAGTTGTTTGCGCCTCAGCACCAACGGCCCGTCTGGAGCCCTGTTCATCACCAACCAGTTTGTCGGGCAGCCGAAAGCGGGTGATGGCCCTATATTCCCTGTTGAATGATCTACCTCATTGACTGCCGCCATCACCGTTCCTCCTTTCATAAACTTCCCACCCCTCGGTTGTCCAGACATTTCCGCTCCACCCCCTCCTGTCTCTAGCCCATTGCTCTCCGCCTGGGTCATTCACTGGAGTAGTTCCAATATCCCTGCAGATTGTCCCATTCAGCCTTCATCCCTCGTTCAGAATTCAAACCTCCGTTTCAAGCGTTCCCATTCAGCCTTTTCATGATTTTCTAGGACATGTTCCTTTGGCACTATTAGCGTCCATCCCGTTTCATTCTCGTCCTCCGAATGGTCTGATCCCTCCCGCCTCTCGATGTAGGGTCTATCCTTGGATTTGGGCTCCTTCTCCTTCTCTGGCAATGGTTTCCCTCCCTCCTCAATGTAGGGTCTATCCTTAGACTTCCCCTTTTCTTTGCCCTTCGCGTCAATCATCCCCGCGTGAAACCGGCTGGAGGGCACTGATCGTTTTGGGGTCCATATTGGAAGACAGAGCCGTTCCCAATCCTTCTCTTTCTGCCCGAGGAAATTGTCCGATTGTCCGGCGGTCTCAACAATCATCTCATTGTGAAACCACGCAACGTTTGGTCTCTCCCAGCCTACCATCTTTTCTCGTACGCGAATCGTGGGCTACGTTACAGAGCATGGC